ACATCTGCAGAACGTGAAGAACCAGTGGCATCTACATCTGCAAAACGTGAAGAACCAGTGGCATCTACATCTGCAGAACGTGAAGAACCAGTGGCATCTACATCTGCAGAACGTGAAGAACCAGTGGCATCTACATCTGCAGAACGTGAAGAACCAGTGGCATCTACATCTGCAAAACGTGAAGAACCAGTGGCATCTACATCTGCAGAACGTGAAGAACCAGTGGCATCTACATGTGCAGAACCAGTGGCATCTACTCCTGCAGAACGTGAAGAACCAGTGGCATCTACATCTGCAGAACGTGAAGAACCAGTGGCATCTACATCTGCAGAACGTGAAGAACCAGTGGCATCTACATCTGCAGAACGTGAAGAACCAGTGGCATCTACATCTGCAGAACCAGTGGCATCTACATCTGCAGAACGTGAAGAACCAGTGGCATCTACATCTGCAGAACGTGAAGAACCAGTGGCATCTACGTCTGCAGAACGTGAAGAACCAGTGGCATCTACATCTGCAGAACGTGAAGAACCAGTGGCATCTACATCTGCAGAACGTGAATAACCAGTGGCATCTACATCTGCAGAACGTGAAGAACCAGTGGCATCTACATCTGCAGAACGTGAAGAACCAGTGGCATCTACATCTGCAGAACGTGCAGAACCAGTGGCATCTACATCTGCAGAACGTGAAGAACCAGTGGCATCTACATCTGCAGAACGTGAAGAACCAGTGGCATCTACATCTGCAGAACGTGATGAACCAGTGGCATCTACATCTGCAGAACATGAAGAACCAGTGGCATCTACATCTGCAGAACGTGAAGAACCAGTGGCATCTACATCTGCAAAACGTGAAGAACCAGTGGCATCTACATCTGCAGAACGTGAAGAACCGTTGGCATCTACATCTGCAGAACGTGAAGAACCAGTGGTATCTACATCTGCAGAACGTGAAAAACCAGTGGCATCTACATCTGCAAAACGTGAAGAACCAGTGGCATCTACATCTGCAGAACGTGAAGAACCAGTGGCATCTACATGTGCAGAACCAGTGGCATCTACTCCTGCAGAACGTGAAGAACCAGTGGCATCTACATCTGCAGAACGTGAAGAACCAGTGGCATCTACATCTGCAGAACGTGAAGAACCAGTGGCATCTACATCTGCAGAACGTGAAGAACCAGTGGCATCTACATCTGCAGAACGTGAAGAACCAGTGGCATCTACATCTGCAGAACCAGTGGCATCTACATCTGCAGAACGTGAAGAACCAGTGGCATCTACATCTGCAGAACGTGAAGAACCAGTGGCATCTACATCTGCAGAACGTGAAGAACCAGTGGCATCTACATCTGCAGAACGTGAAGAACCAGTGGCATCTACATCTGCAGAACGTGAATAACCAGTGGCATCTACATCTGCAGAACGTGAAGAACCAGTGGCATCTACATCTGCAGAACGTGCAGAACCAGTGGCATCTACATCTGCAGAACGTGAAAAACGAGTGGCATCTACATCTGCAGAACGTGAAGAACCAGTGGCATCTACATCTGCAGAACGTGAAGAACCAGTGGCATCTACATCTGCAGAATGTGAAGAACCAGTGGCATCTACATCTGTAACACGTGAAGAACCAGTGGCATCTACATCTACAGAACGTGAATAACCAGTGGCATCTACATCTGCAGAACGTGAAGAACCAGTGGCATCTACATCTGCAGAACGTGCAGAACCAGTGGCATCTACATCTGCAGAACGTGAAAAACGAGTGGCATCTACATCTGCAGAACGTGAAGAACCAGTGGCATCTACATCTGCAGAACGTGAAGAACCAGTGGCATCTACATCTGCAGAATGTGAAGAACCAGTGGCATCTACATCTGAAGAACGTGAAGAACCAGTGGCATCTACATCTACAGAACGTGAAGAACCAGTGGCATCTACATCTGCAGAACGTGAAGAACCAGTGGCATCTACATCTGCAGAACGTGCAGAACCAGTGGCATCTACATCTGCAGAACGTGAAGAACCAGTGGCATCTACATCTGCAGAACGTGAAGAACCTGTGGCATCTACATCTGCAGAACGTGAAGAACCAGTGGCATCTACATCTGCAGAACGTGAAGAACCAGTGGCATCTACATCTGCAGAACGTGAAGAACCAGTGGCATCTACATCTGCAGAACGTGAATAACCAGTGGCATCTACATCTGCAGAACGTGAAGAACCAGTGGCATCTACATCTACAGAACGTGAAGAACCAGTGGACTTCTGCAGAACGTGAAGAACCAGTGGCATCTACATCTGCAGAACGTGAAGAACCAGTGGCATCTACATCTGCAGAACGTGAAGAACCAGTGGCATCTACATCTGCAGAACGTGAAGAACCAGTGGCATCTACATCTGCAGAACATGAAGAACCAGTGGCATCTACATCTGCAGAACGTGAAGAACCAGTGGCATCTACATCTGCAAAACGTGAAGAACCAGTGGCATCTACATCTGCAGAAGGTGAAGAACCAGTTGCATCTCCATCTGCAGAACGTGAAGAACCAGTGGCATCTACATCTGCAGAACGTGAAGAACCAGTGGCATCTACATCTGCAAAACGTGAAGAACCAGTGGCATCTACATCTGCAGAACGTGAAGAACCAGTGGCATCTACATGTGCAGAACCAGTGGCATCTACTCCTGCAGAACGTGAAGAACCAGTGGCATCTACATCTGCAGAACGTGAAGAACCAGTGGCATCTACATCTACAGAACGTGAAGAACCAGTGGCATCTACATCTGCAGAACGTGAAGAACCAGTGGCATCTACATCTGCAGAACGTGAAGAACCAGTGGCATCTACATCTGCAGAACCAGTGGCATCTACATCTGCAGAACGTGAAGAACCAGTGGCATCTACATCTGCAGAACGTGAAGAACCAGTGGCATCTACATCTGCAGAACGTGAAGAACCAGTGGCATCTACATCTGCAGAACGTGAAGAACCAGTGGCATCTACATCTGCAGAACGTGAATAACCAGTGGCATCTACATCTGCAGAACGTGAAGAACCAGTGGCATCCACATCTGCAGAACGTGCAGAACCAGTGGCATCTACATCTGCAGAACGTGAAAAACGAGTGGCATCTACATCTGCAGAACGTGAAGAACCAGTGGCATCTACATCTGCAGAACGTGAAGAACCAGTGGCATCTACATCTGCAGAATGTGAAGAACCAGTGGCATCTACATCTGAAGAACGTGAAGAACCAGTGGCATCTACATCTACAGAACGTGAAGAACCAGTGGCATCTACATCTGCAGAACGTGAAGAACCAGTGGCATCTACATCTGCAGAACGTGCAGAACCAGTGGCATCTACATCTGCAGAACGTGAAAAACGAGTGGCATCTACATCTGCAGAACGTGAAGAACCAGTGGCATCTACATCTGCAGAACGTGAAGAACCAGTGGCATCTACATCTGCAGAACGTGAAGAACCAGTGGCATCTACATCTGAAGAACGTGAAGAACCAGTGGCATCTACATCTACAGAACGTGAAGAACCAGTGGCATCTACATCTGCAGAACGTGAAGAACCAGTGGCATCTACATCTGCAGAACGTGCAGAACCAGTGGCATCTACATCTGCGGAACGTGAAGAACCAGTGGCATCTACATCTGCAGAACGTGAAGAACCTGTGGCATCTACATCTGCAGAACGTGAAGAACCAGTGGCATCTACATCTGCAGAACGTGAAGAACCAGTGGCATCTACATCTGCAGAACGTGAAGAACCAGTGGCATCTACATCTGCAGAACGTGAAGAACCAGTGGCATCTACATCTGCAGAACGTGAAGAACCAGTGGCATCTACATCTGAAGAACGTGAAGAACGAGTGGCATCTACGTCTGCAGAACGTGAAGAACCAGTGGCATCTACATCTACAGAACGTGAAGAACCAGTGGCATCTACATCTGCAGAACGTGAAGAACCAGTGGCATCTACATCTGCAGAACGTGAAGAACCAGTGGCATCTACATCTGCAGAACGTGAAGAACCTGTGGCATCTACATCTGCAGAACGTGAAGAACCAGTGGCATCTACATCTGCAGAACGTGAAGAACCAGTGGCATCTACATCTGCAGAACGTGATGAACCAGTGGCATCTACATCTGCAGAACGTGAAGAACCAGTGGCATCTACATCTGCAGAACGTGCAGAACCAGTGGCATCAACATCTGCAGAACGAGAAGAACCAGCGGCATCTACATCTGCAGTACGTGAAGAACCAGTGGCATCTACATCTGCAGAACGTGAAGAACCAGTGGCATCTACATCTGCAGAACGTGAAGAACCAGTGGCATCTACATCTGCAGAACGTGAAGAACCTGTGGCATCTACATCTGCAGAACGTGAAGAACCAGTGGCATCTACATCTGCAGAACATGAAGAACCAGTGGCATCTACATCTGCAGAACGTGATGAACCAGTGGCATCTACATCTGCAGAACGTGAAGAACCAGTGGCATCTACATCTGCAGAACGTGCAGAACCAGTGGCATCAACATCTGCAGAACGAGAAGAACCAGCGGCATCTACATCTGCAGTACGTGAAGAACCAGTGGCATCTACATCTGCAGAACGTGAAGAACCAGTGGCATCTACATCTGCAGAACCAGTGGCATCTACATCTGCAGAACGTGCAGAACCAGTGGCATCTACATCTACAGAACGTGAAGAACCAGTGGCATCTACATCTGCAGGAGGTTGTACAACTCGGACTCGCGAGTGGACCTCCGCAACCCAACTCGTCCCATAGGCAGAGGAGTCCCTGTAATAATTCACAATGGATTGGGACGGAGGAGTCTTCGCGTGCACGGCGTCCGTACCCTCGTCAACGCCGACGCCGACGACGACGACGCGGACGACGCACGAGCGAGCGCCTGCATCGCGAGCGTGCGTGATGGTGTGGGGCCGAGCGGCGGGGGGGGGGGGGGGGGGGGGGCAGGGAAGGGGTGGGGGGCGGGGGGGGGTGGCGACCGCTCAGAAGCCCGGCGCGGCCTCCGGCCGAAGATCGTCGCCTGATGTCCGTCCGTTCGGAGTAGCGACCGGGAGGGCGGCAGCGGCGGCGGCGTCGCCGGCGCCGCCCCCGCCCCGCCTCGCCTTGTGCAGGATCATCAGCAGCACGATGGTGGGCAGGTACCAGAGGCTGCAGAAGAAGAGGCGGCGGGCGCTGGGCCGGTCGGCGCGCGTGTAGAAGCGCAGCGCCAGCACGCCGATGTAGGCGTTGGGCGCCAGGCACGTGAGCGGGAAGAGCCACGTGGTGAGGCCCGCCGGCGGGCACAGCAGGGGCAGCAGCAGGAGGGCGGCCGTGTGGCGCAGGGCGACCCGGCGGCACAGCGCCGGGTCCACCACGGACATCATGCGGTAGCCGCCCCGCGAGTAGTCCTCGCGCAGGCTCCAGCTCAGCGCATTGAAGTGCGGGAACTGCCAGCTGTAGAGCAGCGCGGCTAGCAGCAGCGCGCCTGCGTGTGTGTGTGTAGTGTGTGTAGTGTGTGTGTAGTGTGAGTGTGTGTGTGAGTGTGTGTGAGTGTGTGAGTGTAGTGTGTGTGTGTGCGTGTGTGTGTGAGTGTGTGTGTAGTGTGTGTGTAGTGTGTGTGTGTGTAGTGTGTGTGAGTGTGTGTGTGTAGTGTGTGTGTAAGTGTGTGTGTGTGAGTGTGTGTGAGTGTGTGTGTGTGAGTGTGTGAGTGTGTGAGTGTGTGCGTGGTGTGTAGTGTGTGAGTGTGTGTGTAGTGTGTGTGTAGTGTGTGTGTGTGTAAGTGTGTGTGAGTGTGTGTGAGTGTGTGTGTGCGTGTGTGTGTAGTGTGTGTGTAGTGTGTAGTGTGTGAGTGTGTGTGTAGTGTGTGTGTGTGTGAGTGTGTGAGTGTGTGAGTGTGGTGTGTAGTGTGTGAGTGTGTGTGTAGTGTGTGTGTAGTGTGTGTGTGAGTGTGTGTGTGTACGTGTGCGCGTGTGCAGTAGTGTAGCGGTTAGCGCGCTGCGCTATGAACCTGGCCACCCGGGTTCGATTCCCGCTCACGGCCAACACCGGTGACGATTATCTGAACCGGTCCCGGGCCTCCCCTAGGTCGACTCAGCCTCAAATGAGTACCTGGTGCGGTGTGTAAACATCGTCACTAGGGAGACAAAGGCGGTCGGGCGTGGTGCTGGCCACCCACCCCCTCGTGTACCGTTCCGGCCTTCATAGGTGCTGGCTAACAGCACTTGCCCCTACAGTCTGTTAAGGTTATATGGGGGATCTTTTGTGGGGAGCGGTGGTGCAGCGGTTAGCGTGACGCTGCGCTACGGACCTGGCGACCCGCGTTCGATTCCCGCTCGCGGCCAACGCCGGTCCTGGGCCTCCCCTAGGACGACTCAGCCTCAAATGTGTACCCGGTGCGGTGTGTTAACATCGCCATTGGGGAGACAAAGGCGGCCGGGCGTGGTGCTGGCCACCCACCCCCTTCGCGTGCCGTTCCGGCCTTCATAGGTGCTGGCTAACAGCACTTGCCCCTACAGCCTGTTAAGGCTACACGGGGGATCTTTGTGTGTGTGCGTGGGGAGCGGGGAGTGTAGAGGTCACTTACCCACCCGCGCACCCACGCACACCCACACTCACCCCCTTTCACCCACCCACCTACACACTCTCTCTCACTCACCCACTTTCTCCCCCTCTCTCTCACCCACCCACCCACTCTCTCTCACTCACCCACCCACACACTCTCTCTCACTCACCCACCCACTCTCTCTCACTCACCCACCCACCCACCCACTCACTCTCTCTCACTCACCCACCTACCCACCGACTCTCTCTCACTCACCCACCCACCCACTCTCTCTCACTCACCCACCCACCCACTTTCTCCCCCTCTCTCTCACCCACCCACCCACTCTCTCTCACTCACCCACCCACACACTCTCTCACTCACCCACCCACCCACTCTCTCTCACTCACCCACCCACCCACTTTCTCCCCCTCTCTCTCACCCACCCACCCACTCTCTCTCTCTCACCCACCCACACACTCTCTCACTCACCCACCCACCCACTCTCTCTCTCTCACTCACCCACCCACCCACTCTCTCTCACTCACCCACCCACCCACCCACTCTCTCACTCACCCACCCACCCACCCACTCTCTCTCACTCACTCACCCACCCACTTTCTCCCCCTCTCTCTCACCCACCCACCCACTTTCTCCCCCTCTCTCTCACCCACCCACCCACCCACTCTCCCCCTCTCTCTCACCCACCCACCCACCCGCCCACCCACACACCCCCCCCACCTCTCTCCCCTCTCCCCCGCTCACCCGTGTCGATGGATCCGGTGGCTGCCGCCCACCCCATGACGGGCGGGATGGCGCCCACGACCGACCCCAGCCACGTGTTGAGGATGCTGAGCCGCTTGAGCGGGGTGTAGGCGCACGTGTACAGCGCCAGGTTGAAAGCGCCGAGGGCGGCGGTGAGCGGGTTCACGAGCACGGCGAGCAGCGACAGGCCACTCACCCCGCACACCGACGCAAACGTCACGGCGTGGAGGGCGCTGCGGGAGGCGGTGGTGGTGGTGATAGTGGTGGTGGTGATAGTGGAGATAGTGGTGGTGGTGGTGATGGTGGTGGTGATAGTGGTGGTGGTGGTGATAGTGGTGGTGGTGGTGGTGATAGTGGTGGTGGTGATGGTGATAGTGGTGGTGGTGATGGTGGTGGTGGTGATGGTGTTGGTGGTGGTGATGGTGTTGGTGGTGGTGATAGTGGTGGTGGTGGTGGTGATAGTGGTGGTGGTGATGGTGATAGTGGTGGTGGTGATGGTGGTGGTGGTGATGGTGGTGGTGGTGGTGATGGTGGTGATAGTGGTGGTGGTGGTGGTGATAGTGGTGGTGGTGGTGGTGATGGTGGTGATAGTGGTGGTGGTGGTGATGGTGATAGTGGTGGTGGTGGTGGTGGAGATAGTGGTGGTGGTGATGGTGGTGGTGGAGATAGTGGTGGTGATAGTGGTGGTGGTGATGGTGGAGATAGTGGAGGTGGTGATAGTGGTGGTGGTGGAGATAATGGTGGTGGTGGTGGTGATGGTGATAGTGGTGGTGATGGTGATAGTGGTGGTGGTGGTGATAGTGGTGGTGGTGATGGTGGAGATAGTGGAGGTGGTAATAGTGGTGGTGGTGGAGATAATGGTGGTGGTGGTGATGGTGATAGTGGTGGTGATGGTGATAGTGGTGGTGGTGGTGATAGTGGTGGTGGAGATGGTGGAGATAGTGGTGGTGGTGATAGTGGTGGTGGTGATGGTGGAGATAGTGGTGGTGGTGATAGTGGTTGTGATGGGAGTGATAGTGGTGGTGGTGATAGTGGTGGGAGTGATAGTTGTGGTTGTGGTGGTAATAGTGGTTGTGATGGGAGTGATAGTGGTGGTGGTGATGGTGGAGATAGTGGCGGTGGTGGTGGTGATAGTGGTTGTGATGGGAGTGATAGTGGTGGTGGTGATGGTGGAGACAGTGGTGGTGGTGGTTGTGGTAGGAGTGATAGTGGTGGTGGTGATAGTGGAGATAGTGGTGGTGGTGATAGTGGTTGTGATGGGAGTGATAGTGGTGGTGGTGATGGTGGAGATGATAGTGGTGGTGGTGATAGTGGTGGGAGTGATAGTGGTGGCGGTGATGGTGGAGAGAGTGGTGGTGATAGTGCTTGTGATGGAAGTGATAGTGGTGGTGATGGTGGAGATAGTGGTGGTGGTGATAGTGGTAAGAGTGATAGTGGTGGTGGTGATAGTGGAGATAGTGGTGGTGGTGGTGATAGTGGTGGTGGGAGTGATAGTGGTGGTGGTGATGGTGGAGATAGTGGTGGTGGTGATAGTGGTTGTGATGGGAGTGATAGTGGTGGTGGTGATGGTGGAGATAGTGGTGGTGATAGTGGTAGGAGTAATAGTGGTGGTGGTGATAGTGGAGATAGTGGTGGTGGTGGTGGTGATAGTGGCAGTGATGGGAGTGATAGTGGTGATGGTGATAGTGGAGATTGTGGTGGTGGTGATAGTGGTAGTGATGGGAGTGATAGTGGTGGTGGTGATAGCAGAGATTGTGGTGGTGGTGGTGATAGTGGTAGAGATGGGAGTGATAGTGGTGGTGGTGGTGATAACAGAGATTGTGGTGGTGGTGATAGAGGTAGTGATGGGAGTGATAGTGGTGATGGTGATAGTGGAGATTGTGGTGGTGGTGATAATGGTAGTGATGGGAGTGATAGTGGTGGTGGTGATAGCGGAGATTGTGGTAGTGGTGGTGGTGATAGTGGTAGAGATGGGAGTGATAGTGGTGGTGATGGTGATAGTGGTAATGATGGGAGTGATAGTGGTGGTAGTGGAGATAGTGGTGGTGGTGATGGTCGTGGTGGAGATAATGGTGGTGGTGATGGTGGTAGTGATGGTGGTGGTAGTCATTGTGGTGATAGGGGTGGTGGTGATTGATAGTAGTGGTGGTGGAAATAGTGGTGGTGGTAGTGATGGTGGTGGAGATAGTGGTAGGGATGGTGGTGATAGTGATTGTGGTGATAGTGGTGGTGGTGATTGATCGTGGTTGTGGTGGAGATAGTGGTGGTGATGATGGTGATGATGATGGTGGTAGCAGAGATGATGCGAGCGGCAAAGACAAAAGACAATAAATAAATAAACATCATGAACACTCGCGAGTGTACACACACACACAAAACAAAGAAAAAAACAAAGATCCCCCATATAGCCTTAACAGACTGTAGGGGCAAGTGCTGTTAGCGAGCACCTATGAAGGCCGGAACGGTACACGAGGGGGTGGGTGGCCAGCACCACGCCCGACCGCCTTTGTCTCCCTGGTGGCGATGTTTACACACCGCACCAGGTACTCATTTGAGGCTGAGTCGACCTAGGGGAGGCCCAGGACCGGTTCAGATAATCGTCACCGGTGTTGGCCGTGAGCGGGAATCGAACCCGGGTCGCCAGGTTCATAGCGCAGCGCGCTAACCGCTACACTATCGCTCCCCACAGCTACACGCACACACACAGTTACACACACACAGTTACACACACACAGCTACACACACACAGCTACACACACACGCACAGCTACACACACAGTTACACACACACAGCTACACGCACACACACACAGCTACACGCACACACACACAGCTACACGCACAGCTACACGCACACAGTTACACACAGCTACACACAACAACCGCCATTCGCCACCAAGTGGCGGTGACGTCACCACGACGCTTGTGCCAGGCCATGTGCACCTTGAGGCCACAGCTACACACACAGCTACACACACAGACACACAGCTACACGCACACACACACAGCTACACACACCTACACACCCACACAGCTACACACACAGTTACACACACACAGATACACGCCCACACAGCTACACACACAGCTACACGCACACACACAGCTGCACGCACGCACACACACACAGCTACACGCACACACACACACATAGCTACGCGCACACACACACACACACAGCTACGCGCACACACACACAGCTACACGCACACACAGAGCTACACGCACGCACACACACAGCTGCACGCACAGCTACACGCACACACAGAGCTACACGCACGCACACACACAGCTACACACATAGCTACACGCACACACACAGATAGGCACACACAGGAACACATTCACAGGCACACACGCACAGGAACTGGTACATGCACACACGCACATACGCACAACACACAACAACCACCACTCGCCACTAAGTGGCGGTGACGTCACCACGACGCTTGTGCCAAGCACGTACGCACACACACACAAAGATCCCCCATATAGCCTTAACAGACTGTAGGGGCAAGTGCTGTTAGCGAGCACCTATGAAGGCCGGAACGGCACACGAGGGGGTGGGTGGCCAGCACCACGCCCGACCGCCTTTGTCTCCCTAGTGGCAATGTTTACACACCGCACCAGGTACTAATTTGAGGCTGAGTTGACCTAGGGGAGGCCCGGGACCGCTTCAGATAATCGTCACTGGTGGTGTTGGCCGTGAGCGGGAATCGAACCCGGGTCGCCGGGTTCATAGCGCAGTGTAGCGCTAACCGCTACACTACCGCTCCTCACACACACTCACACACGGACACACACACTCACACACAGACACACACACAGACACACACACTCACACACACAGACACACACGCGCACAGACACACGCACGCTGGCATGGTGCGTCACCTGATCTGACCCCTGACGAGTGGTCGGTTCTTGGTGCGGTTCATGTTGGAGTCGAAAGGCACCTCGAAGTACTGAGAGAGACGCATGCACGCACGCACACACACACGCACACACACACACACGCACGCGCACACACACACCGCAACACACGCGCACACACACAGACCACACACACAAACACGCGTACACACACATGCACACAGACCACACACACACACAGACCACACACACACACACACGCGTACACACACACGCACACAGACCACACACACACACGCGTACACACACACACACACGTACACACACACGCACACACACCGCAACACACACACATGCACACAGACCACACACGCGCACACACACGCGCACACACGGTGAGCGGGTATGCACACACACACGTGCGTACACGAACGAGCACGCACGTAAGAGCGCTGTGGCCACCCGACCCCGTCGTGTGCCGTGCCGGCCTTCGTAGGGGCTCGCAAACACCGCTTGCCCCAACAGTCGGTTCAGGCTCTACAGACATCACCCCAGCGCCCCCCCCCTCCCACCCCCCGTGTGGCCTTAAGAGGCTGTTGTGGCAGCAGCTGTTGGCGAGCGGCACCCTGTGAAGGCCGGCACGGCACACGAGGCTGGCCAGCAACCACGCCCGGCCGCCTTTGTCTCCCCAGTGGCGATGTTAACGCACCGCACCAGGTACTAATTTGAGGCCGAGTCGACCTAGGGGAGGCCCAGGACCGGTTCAGATAACCGTCGGCGCAACCAGGAGCGCACGTGTCCCCCTCTGCCCCCTCCCCCCGGCCCCCCAGCCCCCCAGCCCCCAGCCCCCCCAAGCCGCTCATTGCAGGGTAATTTTCAACCGGTCTCAAAATTACCGCCCGCATGCTTGTGTCAAACAGCACGCTCCTCGCGGTGTCAAACAGCACGCTCCTGGCGGTGTCAGACAGCACGCTCCTCGCGATGTCAGACAGCACGCTCCTGGCGATGTCAGACAGCACGCTCCTCGCGGTGTCAGACAGCACGCTCCTCGCGGTGTCAAACAGCACGCTCCTGGCGGTGTCAGACAGCACGCTCCTCGCGGTGTCAAACAGCACGCTCCTGGCGGTGTCAAACAGCACGCTCCTCGCGGTGTCAGACAGCACGCTCCTCGTGGTGTCAAACAGCACGCTCCTCACGGTGTCAGACAGCACGCCCCTCGCGGTGTCAAACAGCACGCTCCTCGCGGTGTCAGACAGCACGCTCCTCGCGGTGTCAGACAGCACGCTCCTCGCGGTGTCAGACAGCACGCCCCTCGTGGTGTCAGACAGCACGCTCCTGGCGGTGTCAGACAGCACGCTCCTCGCGGTGTCAGACAGCACGCTCCTCGTGGTGTCAAACAGCACGCTCCTCGCGGTGTCAAACAGCACGCTCCTCGCGGTGTCAGACAGCACGCTCCTCGCGGTGTCAAACAGCACGCTCCTCGCGGTGTCAGACAGCACGCTCCTCGTGGTGTCAGACAGCACGCTCCTCGCGGTGTCAGACAGCACGCTCCTCGCGGTGTCAGACAGCACGCCCCTCGTGGTGTTAGACAGCACGCCCCTCACGGTGTCAGACAGCACGCTCCTCGCGGTGTCAGACAGCACGCCCCTCGCGGTGTCAGACAGCACGCTCCTCACGATTTCAAACAGCACGCCCCTCGTGGTGTCAGACAGCACGCTCCTCGCGGTGTTAGACAGCACGCTCCTCGTGGTGTCAGACAGCACGCCCCGCGCGGTGTCAGACAGCACGCTCCTCGCGGTGTCAGACAGCACGCCCCTCGCGGTGTCAGACAGCACGCTCCTCGCGGTGTCAGACAGCACGCTCCTCGCGGTGTCAGACAGCACGCTCCTCGTGGTGTCAGACAGCACGCTCCTCGTGGTGTCAGACAGCACGCCCCGCGCGGTGTCAGACAGCACGCTCCTCGCGGTGTCAGACAGCACGCCCCTCGCGGTGTCAGACAGCACGCTCCTCGCGGTGTCAGACAGCACGCCCCTCGCGGTGTCAGACAGCACGCTCCTCGCGGTGTCAGACAGCACGCTCCTCGCGGTGTCAGACAGCACGCTCCTCGCGGTGTCAGACAGCACGCTCCTCGTGGTGTCAGACAGCACGCTCCTCGTGGTGTCAGACAGCACGCCCCGCGCGGTGTCAGACAGCACGCTCCTCGCGGTGTCAGACAGCACGCCCCTCGCGGTGTCAGACAGCACGCTCCTCGCGGTGTCAGACAGCACGCCCCTCGCGGTGTCAGACAGCACGCCCCTCGCGGTGTCAAACAGCACGCTCCTCGTGGTGTCAGACAGCACGCTCCTCACGATGTCAGACAGCACGCTCCTCACGATGTCAGACAGCACGCTCCTCGCGGTGTCAGACAGCACGCTCCTCACGATGTCAGACAGCACGCTCCTCGCGGTGTCAGACAGCACGCTCCTCGCGGTGTCAGACAGCACGCTCCTCGCGATGTTAGACAGCACGCTCCTCGCGGTGTCAGACAGCACGCTCCTCGCGGTGTCAGACAGCACGCCCCTCGCGGTGTCAGACAGCACGCTCCTCGCGGTGTCAGACAGCACGCTCCTCGCGGTGTCAGACAGCACGCTCCTCGCGGTGTCAGACAGCACGCTCCTCGCGGTGTCAGACAGCACGCCCCTCGCGATGTTAGACAGCACGCCCCTCACGGTGTCAGACAGCACGCTCCTCGCGATGTCAGACAGCACGCTCCTCGCGGTGTCAGACAGCACGCTCCTCGCGGTGTCAGACAGCACGCTCCTCGCGGTGTCAGACAGCACGCTCCTCGCGGTGTCAGACAGCACGCTCCTCGCGGTGTCAGACAGCACGCCCCTCGCGGTGTCAGACAGCACGCTCCTCGCGGTGTCAGACAGCACGCTCCTCGCGGTGTCAGACAGCACGCTCCTCGCGGTGTCAGACAGCACGCTCCTCGCGGTGTCAGACAGCACGCTCCTGGCGATGTCAGACAGCACGCTCCTCGCGGTGTCAGACAGCACGCTCCTCGCGGTGTCAGACAGCACGCTCCTGGCGATGTCAGACAGCACGCTCCTCACGGTGTCAGACAGCACGCTCCTCGCGGTGTCAAACAGCACGCTCCTCACGGTGTCAGACAGCACGCTCCTCGCGGTGTCAGACAGCACGCTCCTCGCGGTGTCAGACAGCACGCTCCTCGCGGTGTCAGACAGCACGCCCCTCGCGGTGTCAGACAGCACGCTCCTCGCGGTGTCAGACAGCACGCTCCTCACGGTGTCAGACAGCACGCTCCTCGCGGTGTTAGACAGCACGCTCCTCGCGATGTTAGACAGCACGCCCCTCACGGTGTCAGACAGCACGCTCCTCGCGATGTTAGACAGCACGCTCCTCGCGATGTTAGACAGCACGCTCCTCGCGATGTTAGACAGCACGCTCCTCGCGGTGTTAGACAGCACGCTCCTCGCGATTTCAAACAGCACGCTCCTGGCGGTGTCAGACAGCACGCCCCTCGCGGTGTCAGACAGCACGCTCCTCGCGGTGTCAAACAGCACGCTCCTCGTGGTGTCAAACAGCACGCTCCTCGTGGTGTCAGACAGCACGCTCCTCACGGTGTCAGACAGCACGCTCCTCACGGTGTCAAACAGCACGCTCCTCGTGGTGTCAAACAGCACGCTCCTCGTGGTGTCAAACAGCACGCTCCTCGCGGTGTCAGACAGCACGCTCCTCACGGTGTCAGACAGCACGCTCCTCGTGGTGTCAGACAGCACGCTCCTCGCGGTGTCAGACAGCACGCCCCTCGCGGTGTCAGACAGCACGCTCCTCGCGGTGTCAGACAGCACGCTCCTCGCGATGTCAGACAGCACGCTCCTCGCGATGTCAGACAGCACGCTCCTCGCGATGTTAGACAGCACGCTCCTGGCGGTGTCAGACAGCACGCCCCTCGCGGTGTCAGACAGCACGCTCCTCGCGATGTTAGACAGCACGCTCCTGGCGGTGTCAGACAGCACGCCCCTCACGGTGTCAGACAGCACGCTCCTCGCGGTGTCAGACAGCACGCTCCTCGCGGTGTCAAACAGCACGCTCCTCGCGGTGTCAGACAGCACGCTCCTCGCGGTGTCAGACAGCACGCCCCTGGCGGTGTCAGACAGCACGCTCCTCGCGGTGTCAGACAGCACGCCCCTCGCGGTGTCAGACAGCACGCCCCTCGCGATTTCAAACAGCACGCTCGGCGCATCGCAACAAGCGAGCGGCGCTGCCACTTCATTACAGCACACGTGTGCGCGAGCAAGCGTGTGTGTGTGTGTGTGCGTGCGTGTGTGCGTATGTGTGTGTACGTGCGCGAGATGGGGCCTTACCATCAGCCCCACCAAAACTAAGCACCTGCCTGGGTATTTTGTACCATCGTAAACTCCACCGCCACAACTCCCAATCGGTGATGGGTCAGTTGTGGAGAGAGTGGAGAGTTTCCCATACCTGGGCAGTGTGCTCATGACCGGGTCCAGTTTAACAGCAGAGGTCTGTGCGGAAGCTACCTGTTCTGTCGCTCCGCACTAAGCTTCAGGTCCTCTCGGCCACATCTTCGCCGGTTAGAAACATTTAGGCTAGCCTGCCTACGATCCATCCTGGGTTTAACCAGGCTGGATTGTGTGAGGAGCTCACAAATCCTTGAAAGATCTGGGCAAGGTCCCATCGGTGAGCTCCTCCGGCAGGCAAGGCTGCGTTGGCTGGGTCATGTAGCCCGCATGCCCAACCACCGCATGCCGAAACAGCTTTTGTTCGGCCGGATCGAGGGGGCTAAACGGGGCGGCACGGGCTAGAGAAGAGATGGAGTGATGTGGTACAGGAGGACGTGGAGCTGAGTGGACTTTCCGATGAATGGTACCAGCGGTGTCAAGATCAGCCTCTGTGAGGAGGCTCGTGAAGGACGCTACTGGGCAGTTGGAGGCAGTCGCCCTCCAACAACAACGGAGGGCGGAGGAGCAACGCTCACAACAACGAGCGGAGCGCCGGGTGGCTAAAGCACAGCAGGTTGGCACAGTAGGGGGCACAGGTGGTGCATCAGCCAGTCATCTCAGTCATC